TACTTGAGCAGGCCTAAGAGGCAAAGGGGCCAACTATTATTGGATAAATTGCTCCAACAAGTTTTTAAACCTCAATCAAAAGGCTATATAGAATGGTTTTAAAAATCAAGACATGTGAAAATCATCACATGGTTTAACCTAAGTAATGCCAATGCTTCACAAAACAAAAAATTTAACGTCCTAATACTACTATCAGCTTTGGTCTTTCGTCCCAAGTTAAATCATTTCTCGTTTTTGTTCCGCTACGATTTTACCCCTGTGGGCCTCAGTCTCGTGAAGGTGGGAAGCACCATTTTAGCGTCTCTCGAATTTGATTTAAAATTTTGTTATTTTGATGAAAACCGAAAACGGAAAACAAACAAATCCATAGCCATTTTTTTATTCCACATAAGCTCGATGATCACGTGACTAAAAAAATCTACTAGCTCTACTCCGCTCCGGGAGGTACTTTTCAAACGTAGCACTGGTAACAACTGGTTAACTGATGGCAACTGTATGATACAGAATATACCCCTATATTTTGTTATTTGTGTCAACGGTGATTCATGTGATTTTCGTTCTATATTTTTAAGCAATGAAACACAGTAAATATTGGGATCGATTGGTTATTTATTTAATATTTACGATAACAATTTACAAAGTAATTTTACAACAATTGACTTTTAACAATTATTCGTAAAAATATACGTATCGAAAACTTGAAAATTTCTTATATATATTTACAAAAAATTTGATACACATACGGACTAGGTATCTTCAGCGTATTCCCCAAAATTTCAATCATACTTGACACCCTTTTTAAAAGTAAGGAGTGATCCACAATAGTAATGTGGACATGATGGCCATATCGCACGAGTATATTTTTTCTACGACCCACTTACGAAAATCTTCAAATTTAAAATTTATTTTAAGTTAGTAAGACACAATAACTAATTTTAAAATTATTTATGGCTTCTACTAATTCATAAAATAAACTTGAAAAAAAAATGTTATTAGTCCCCGGCCGAGATTCGAACTCTGGTCTCTCGCGTGGAAGATAGACACCGTCTCCTCACCTCCACCGCCAGATTTGGTATCTTAGTTCTAATACTCGTAATTAAATTAGTTATACAGGGTGTATCAACGATGCGTGGGTGAAAGATAGCTGCTTCCCTATATGAGATAGGAAAAAATGCTTCAAATAAAAGTTGTAGAGGGCATTGAAAGCTACGTTCCAATATACAGGGTGTCCGATAAATGTATGAGTTATCGAAGTAATGTTTTTTTAAAGGAAGCACCCTATATATTTTTACTCGATTAAATTTCTTTGGAAGAGTGTTTCTCAAAAATATAGGGTTGTATGGGTTTATACTGGGGGTTTATACTTAGGAATTTATGGTGGGATTTAGGTAACAAAATGGGTTTATTCAACATCAAATATCTCTAAATCAATAATTTGGAATAAATTTTTTTTCTGCCGAATATTCTCGAAAATAGTGTATTTTTATTTCCTATTCATAATTTTACCGAATGGCGCTTTTCCCATACAGGGGCAACCAAAACTCGGGACCACTTTTTTCTAAGTTTTTTCAAATGTAACACCCTGTAAATGAGGCCATACCAGGATAGCCCATACCATGAGCTTTCAGAAAATGTAGGGTTTGCCTACTTGATTTTTATCGGAAATGTATCTAATTCTTAAGGAAAGTATAAAAAAGTTATAAAAGCAATAACTATTTATTTATTTCATTCATAAATTCACATCAAATGTTCGAATAATCTCCCATTTTGAGCTATGCACAAATTAAGTCTATCTACATTTGCTCTTCTAACTTCAATTAAAGTTGATTTTGTAATAGAGTGAAAAACTTCTCTAATTCTATTCTTCATGTCTTCTGGTGTCGTTGGTTTTTCGCGGTAGACCTCTCCTTTAACATATCCCCAGAGATAAAAATCTAGAGGCGTGAGGTCTGGAGACCTTGCTGGCCACTGAATGGGTCTGTTTCTTCCTATCCATTTATTACTGCGCCATCTGTTTAAAAACTATCTTACCTGATTTTGATTGTGGGGAGGCGCGCCATCATGTTGGTAATATAACCTGAGTCTGGTGTCAATAGGTACATCCTCCAACAAAATTGGTAAATGATCTCGGAGAAAATCTCTGTAAATTTCCCCATTCAGTGGACCATCAAAGAAATGTGGTCCTATGACCTGATCCCCAATTATGCCCCCCCAAACATTTATCGACCATCTATTTTGGTAATCAATTTCTCTGACCCAATGTGGATTCTCTGTTGAGTAGTAGTGGCAATTGTGTCTATTTACTATTCCATTACTTTTAAATGTTGACTCGTCACTAAACAAAATGTATTTTAGAAAATTTGGTTCCTCGCGAATGAAATTCAATATATTTTCGCAATAGCGAACTCTGGTGTCATAATCCCTTTCATAAAGTTCTTGATGTAATTCAATTCGGTATGGATAAAGTTTATTATTTATCAATATTCTGTTCACGGAAGTGTGACTTATATCCAGCTCTCTTGCAATTTCCGTCGTACTAACATGAGGATTCTCTACTGTTGAAAGGATCACCGCTAATTCATTTTCTTCATTTGTTGCAATTTTGTTTACTACTTGCCTTTTCTCGTGCTTGACACTGCCTGTTTCGTCAAATCTTTCTTTAACCCTCCGAAAAGTCTCTGGTCGTATAGACCTTGAATCAGGGTATCGAACTGCATATATTCTACTGGCTAATAAACAATTTCTATCACACTCACCCAAAATGTAGATCATATTTATCATTTCGTCGGTGGATAATTTCATTTTGAAGCGAAAAATTATTAAATTTCAACTATAAATTATTCTCCTCCTCGATAATTAAATGTCAAATTCCTATAACGTTCAAATGTTTCAAGGGTGATTTGATTTTTCGCTGTATTACAAGATCAACTTTAATGAAAGTTCGAAGAGAAATTGTAGATATGATTAATTGGAGCATAGCTTAAAATGTGAGATTGTTTAAACATTTGCTGTGAATATACGCTTTTTTAAATAATTGTTCGTTTATAATAAATAAATAGTTATTGCTTTTATAACTTTTTTATACTTTCCTTAAGAATTAGATACATTTCCGATAAAAATCAAGTAGGCAAACCCTACATTTTCTGAAAGCTCATGGTATGGGCTATCCTGGCATGGCCTCATTTACAGGGTGTTCCATTTGAAAAAACTGAGAAAAAAGTGGTCCCGAGTTTTGGTTGCTCCTGTATGGGAAAAGCGCAATTCGGTAAAATTATGAATAGGAAATGAAAATACACTATTTTCGAGAATATTCGGCAGAAAAAAAAAATTTATTCCAAATTATTGATTTAGAGATATTTGATGTTGAATAAACCCATTTTGTTACCTAAATCCCACCATAAATTCCTAACCACCCAGTATAAACCCATACAACCCTATATTTTTGAGAAACACTCTTCCAAATAAATTTAATCGAGTAAAAATATATAGGGTGTTTCCTTTAAAAAAACATTACTTCGATAACTCATACATTTATCGGACACCCTGTATATTGGTAGTTATTTTTGGAACGTAGCTTTCAATGCCCTCTACAACTTTTATTTGAAGCATTTTTTCCTATCTCATATAGGGAAGCAGCTATCGTTCACCCACGCATCGTTGATACACCCTGTATATAGTTTAATTAAAATTTTATTTTTATTTTTATTTCAAAATGTGGACGAAACAAAAATAGAAATGTTAATATTTATCGACTCTCCCCAAAAATAACTCATTTTAATGTATATTTAATCTCAATAACTAAAAAATATACTGACAATTAATTTGACAGTATTGTCACTTATTTTAAATTTTAAAAATAATAGTAATTGGGCGACTAAAATATGAACTGTGATTGGTAGATTTTATTATTTTGCAGTGTTCTCACTACCTAGAATAGATATGAAATGTATTAGTTCTGTTGAACGCAATAGCATACTTTTTCGTTTTGTAGTCTATGGATAGATGAGCTACTATCCATGTGGGTGAAAAATTCTCGCATGTAATACTTCTTGGGTAGTTGTCACCGACACGACTTTTTTTGTCGGTCATGGCCTACTTTAGAAACATTTTTTGTGGATCACTCTTTGTAAGGAAGGTGTCTAATACAAAAAGCTTCAACTCAGTTTACACTTCGATTTGACGTTCAGTTCTTCTACAAAATAATTTTTCTGTACATACCTTTTAGTAGATTAAAATTTGGAAGAATACGCATTATTATTATTATTATTATTATTATTCTTTCATTAACAGATATTCATTGGTCCAACAAATCACTGAATAAAAACAAGCAAAAATAACAAAACTATTATGTAATATCCTCTACCAAAAAGCTAAAAATTTGTTAATAAATTATTTTGGGGTTAAAGGTCAGTTATTTTGACTATATAGTACAACGAAATCAGGTGATTTTTTTATAGGTACCTATAGTATGTAGGCTACATTTCTCAGTAACATAATTATTTAAATGAAATCATTCAAATTTTAATATTCGCCTTAAATTTACATTCATATGTAAATGCCATTTATGTCACATGCCAAGCATTCTAAAGTTATACGTCTATTGACGACATTTGACGTTTAAATATTTGATGTGACATTTGACACAATTGACAGAATTGTAGAATATTACATTTAATTAAAAAAAGTGCTTCTGAATAGTATGATAAAATATGGCACCTTCTTGACCAAGATTTGTGCTTACATGTCAAAATATTATTTTTCATAACCTCTATATCGTCTCTATTTCAACTGTTTTCTTTTAATATCCAGCTACATCAATTACATACAAAATGATAAAAATCTGTCTTAAGCTGCAGAGTCTCTTTTCACTGTTCGTATCGAGTATCACATTGGTACACATAATATGCGTCTTTAATATTCACATCTCACTGTATCTGGTTTAATAAAAATAAATCGACTAGTAAGTTCACTGGAATTGTGTTTATATTTTTTGTCAAAAACTACACGTTGAGGTCGGCCATCATTTTTCTAAAATCCGCCAAAGTGTTGTAGTCTGGGTCCAAGTCTATATCTGCGAAATCTCTCTTGGAATCCGTTTTTACGAAACTCGGATGGTACCTGCTAAGGGAAAGAGGACAAGGGAGGAGTTCTGGCATTACAGAGTGATGTGTTATTAACGACGTTAGTGAAGTAAATTCTTTTGTAAAGCCCTGAAACAAAATAAGAAAGTTAGCATGCATCAAAATATTAAATTATGTTTATTTTTACCTTAATTTTGTAGCCTTTATTCGCCCTCACTATCAGATAATGAGCTATACCAGTTGGTTGAAAACTCCTGGGTACCCTCAAAGATAGTGCAAAGCATCCCGGTTTACTGGTACTTTCTCTAACCATAAATGCCCCTACTGGTTCCTGTGCTAAAATCTCCAAGGCTATTTCTCTGGGAATCCCTGCTTGAAACCATGGAGCTAACCTAAAAAGAATAATTTAATTTAGTTAAATCGATTTTATAGTGTCACGATATACGGTTTCTTTTAACAAATGTCACGTTCTCTTGAATAAAATTGTGACTAAGTATCGACCTCTGTAATCTGTCACAGTTTTATGCGCCATTTGTAAAAAGAATACATAGAAGATATGGTGGATGCGACAGGCACCATGTTAAGATATGACGCGTTCTTTAAATAAACGTGTCACAAATTGGAGTTTTAATAATAAAAATAGGACTAGCTCCCAGGGGGTTAAACGATAAATATATATATATATATATTCCTATGTACAAATAGTGTAAACAGTATATTCGAGAGTATATTACTTTAAACTAGGGTTTCTATAGCCCTTTTACTCTTAATGTTGAAACCTAGAAAGAGTGGTGATGCTTGTTGTTTCTTGCAAATTTTTATCTTGAAATTTATTAACTTTTGTGTTGCATTTGTGTTACATAGTGATATATCTATCTAATTTATACAGCTACTTTTGTGGTATTGGTACTTGATTTCAGCAGCATTTTGATAATAAATTTATACAATTTATTTGTTTCCTTGAGGTGTAATTTTTAAGTATTATTTACTATTAAATTTAGTTAATAGTTTTGAACCATACCTCGTATATAATATTATTCGAGAATTACACTCAGTTTTTATTTTTAAGTATTATTTACCAATAAATTTAGTTAATAGTTTTGTACTATCCCTGTATAAAATATTATTCTTATTTAGGATTAATTAGGGCATCTCTTTACCTATAACATTTCATTTAATATTATTCTGATCCAAATTACATTATTATAATACGTATAATTTATTATAAATCCGATAATTAATTGGTTTATTTATTTTTGGTAGTCATATGTTTGAATTATTACCAGTTTTCAAATTAATTGTCAAATCAATTGGCTCTAGGCATCCTGTGCTGTATTGTTTGGTACGACTGATGTCTGTTCGGAATTGCTCGGTTAGTCCCGTTCCTCAGATACAGACAAGGGTTTTCTTCGTTTTAGCTGTTCTGGTCCGATCAGTGCATACAGCCACTTTTTGTAAGGGTCGTTCCTTTTATTCAATAATGTATATTTTGGGGAATTAGTATTCTTAGGGGGTTTATGTTATTTTATTTAGGGTGAATTACAATAAATTCATTTATTTTATATTGTATTATTGTTATCACAGCTGATTCTAGAACATAGTTGGCTAGAATGCTTTATTTTAAATGCCTTGCTAGTTGAGAAAAAGTAGAGTCTTAAGTCAGTGGGTTTTTGAGTAACCTGCTTGTGGTACCGAAAAGAAGCTGAACCAAATTAGCACCTTTTAGTTAATGGTGGATCTAGGTCGGTTACTTTAAAAGAGTTTCCAGAATTATTATAAGTAAGAGATTTCTTATTTTTGGCCCGTTTGTCAAATTTATTCCATTTACGGAAACTACTCCTTGTGGAGGATTTAAAATCGGATACACAACGATTGTGACGGTGTTAGCAGCGGCACATGCCCATGGGGACGTACCCGCCATCTTTGAAGAATTTGTGTATAACAAGGCTACTAGTATGGCTCGGCATGTTGCTATTATGTGGTGGAACCTCCCAACTGTTGAAGCATGGTTCATGTTTATTAGCAGTCCTTCCTGCAGCTCGAACCTCGAGCGGTATTGAGGAGTCCTGGGGGAAACAGGCTGTAGACTTTACTACCACCTTCCCAAGAAGCTCCATAAACTTACTTCGGCTTTCATCACTAGCTCCAGAAGAGCTTCAAAAAGATAAGTCTTATAATAGTTTAGTGTTTATTCATATGGTTATATTTAACCTTTATTTAACTGATGTTGTGGAATATTTATTCCTTTTGCCTAGTGCAGAATGTCTTATTATTACTTATAGAGGTGTACCCCTAAAGGGACACTAAATGTTTTTCATACAACTGATGTCTTAATTATTTTGAATATAAATATATATTGTTATTGGGTACTTTTCATTGTTGGGTGGTTTATTTATCTATAAAAAGAATATTTTGTGTTTAGGAAATAAGTTTAAGTTCAGCGGATCTTGTAGGGTTGACTCTCACAGGTTTTATGTCTTATGTACCATATGTTTATTTGGTACAATTTACTTTTAACAGCCTAGAATACTGGCTGTGACAGTCAAACCTCTCATTTATTTCAAGTTATGAAATATGTATTAATTTAATTTATTTTTAGATACTTGTACCCTATTATACGCTGCCCTCCCTTTGTTCGAACAAATGGTGTGCTTATTTAACCCTGAAGGTTAAAATTGTAAGCTGCATACTTTTATTATTGTAATAAAGCCCAGTAACAATATCCTGAGTTTCGTTTCTTCTCAAATCTAGGATCCTGTGATGTCCAGTTGGTTACTGGACTATAAAAGGTGAGCTAATTACGATTATTATTAAATTGCTGATTCTCCACTGACTCCAGATGCTTTGGGTAAACCATTAAAGTACTTATAATAAATTGATTTATTCACATAATTAGTGATTTCTTGAAACTAAGAAGATTAATTTTATCATAGAATTTTGTGTTATCTGTTCTCTCAACAACGAGTGATTTTGTGATTTAAGTTGGTCTTATTAAATCTCTGGCGCGTTATAAATTTATAGAACCACCCCTGCTGAGCTAGTTGAGGTGATTACGAGTTGACTTCATAGGCAAGAGATAGCCAGAATTTTTATTATTTAATTTATTTTCAGTAAGATCTGTAGGCCAAAATTTAAGTTTAAATTAATAATAATATTTAGATGGAAATTAGTAAGAACTCGTAACAACCTCCACTTTAAATGTTTAATCAACCTCTCAATATTACATTACATAAACAACTATATGTATATAATACTGAAAAACTAACTCAAATTATAAAATGTTTCAGAACAACTTTCGGGGGAAAGTACTGTACAACTGCTAGTGTGATGTTTTTGAACTTCCCTTTGTAACCTCTGAGAGAGGTGCTGTAAAACTCCCGCAATTGCGGATATTCGAAGGTTTCATGGATGTTAAAGTAACATTAAAAGGACCATCACATAACAGCTTAAAGATCCTAAAATTACACCTTAATAACTTAGATGGGATGTGTATGTGCTTGCTGTGATTTCTATTATTAAAACTCCAATTTTAATACATATAATAAAGAACAAGTCATATGGTGACAATAAAAAAAAAGATGTACTTCTAACAGGTGTCTTTGTCTTAGGTTCATTTGTGTCGGTAGTCGTTAAGCAGTAAACAAATTTTCTTAATAAAAATGTCACTTTAAACATAGGTTATTTCTTAATGACTAGCTATGCAAATGACCCTTACATACCTTAATTCCCCCTCTTCTTTGTTATTCAACGAATCGGTTCGCTCGGGCAGTGGCGGAGGAGTGGGAGTGAACCCTATTAGATTATTTTCCTGGCCGCCGGTCGGACCGGAGCTGGAACTGCTCGAACTAAGTTGCGATATCCGTTTGCATTTGAAATCTTTGTCGCTTTTCACCGTGTTGTCTAGTTCGATACGTTTGGTGAGATTGAGGTTAGAATTGTTTTCAGCTAATTCGTTTTTTAAATTATCTACGGCATTGTTGGAACGGTTTTTGGATTCTTCGGTTTCGTTCACGTAACCACCTGATAGGGGGCGGTTCGTTGGACTACCTGCGATTAGATAAAAATAAAAAGAGTTAAATATCAAATTTCTATCTTAGTCAATGTGAATAAATTAGTAAATGCTGCGAACAGAAATATTCACAAAATAAAAAGAAATGCTAATTAATAAGAAAAAATCTAATGAATTTAAGGCTAAATAACCCACTTCTTGCTAAAGAGTCAGCAAATGTAACGTAGAGAGATGATGATGTGTCATAGTACTAAGTTGTTTACACAATGTTGGACATTTTCTGCTAGCAAAACCAAGTGATATCTAATTCTGGGCGAGTAATTATTGCTTTGATGGAATGCAGATTAATGGGTATACAATACGTTAAATTTTCAATACTGACTCCAGGAGAACGGTATAGAAAAACAATGTTATTGAATAGACAGAAATAGAATAATACATCGCCGACTGCGGACCGCAATATCCCATCCTTGGCATCGGAACGGCGTAGTTAAACTAAGTTACTTTCTTTATGCCTGACACGTCCAAATATAATTAAGAGTCTCATCTTTATTTTGCTTTGTACGTTGGTTAATATACTGTATATCTTTTCGTACTACTAGTTTTTAACTCTCTATTTTTGATGTCGATATTGAGAACGTTTCACGGTCCTTGAAAAAAGGGGGAATACTTTTTTGATCCAAGGCATGGTGTTGTTGATGGAACCCCTCCATAGTTCTCAGAAACCCATCCCATGAAAAATTTCTGGCTACGCGACTGTCGGTTGTGGTGTACTGAATTGTTGATATACAAATTGCATTTCTAATCTTGTGCTAAATGTGTTTTTTTTGTCTTATTGTTCTCATAGTCGTTTGACGACAAAAAACCTGATTAAAAAAAAAGATATATTTTGAATCAATGCCATAATTTTTTATTTAATCAACAAAAACCTAGTGAATATTTGGTATAAAATTATATTTATAATCGCATTGTAAATGTGTTTGTTTTATCACCGTCTTTCGTAAAATTATTTTAACTAATAATTCAATTGAATTAATCCATTTTCTTCAATAGATACAATAATTTTTATTTATCTCTAAACTTTTGTGGTACTAAAGTACACCTAAACCAAAGATTTTGCCGAATAACAATATCGAAACTTTAAGGGACCGCGCGGTTTATCTGCTAGCTTCAGCCTCATGTTTCGATCGGTTAGCATACAATTTTATTGCGCCCCGGTCAAATGCGCACCCAAACAAATGCCCTTGCCGACATATGCGCATCAACAAAAATTTAATTTTTTAATTTTTAATCTATTTTTTTATATTAATTACTTAATTACTAGCAGACAAAATATATTGTAACATTTGTTTAATTTATTTATAGTTAATTTATTTACGATTTATTTATAATTATATATATAGCGTAATAATTAATTTATATAATACTTAGGCACTATTATAACTCACAAACTTGCGCTATTTATATAAAGCCAACTCTGTACCAGAACTCTCTCGGCTTTCCAGAACGATCGAAAACTGCCTCTCTATGACTTATACGCCACAAAGGGATCTATCATGTAGCTTCTCGAAGCGGTGCGTTTGTCCCTATATGGCCAGCTCTAGACTTCATACCGCAGGAAAGGAGTAAACAAAGTACAGAGACGGCTTCACATCACAATTTAAAAAAAAATAGAAATATTTTCTAGTATTCTTATTAAAAAAAAACAAACTATTTTACATAAAGTGTGCGGCATAGAGTCACCGCGTGTTATTTCGAAAGTAGATGAAATATACATGACATTCATTTTTTTGGGCGCATATGTCGAGAAGCGCATTTGTCGGGGCATTTGTGTCGGGGCATTTGTGTCGGGGCATTTGTGTCGGGGCGTTTGTGTCGGGACGGTTTTGTCGGGGTGTATTTGACGGGTTACCTATATAAACATGGGTAACATAAGAGATTACTTTCGTCGGACTTTTGAAGTTTTTGCATATTTTGAAAGATTATGTTCGGAATATAATATGTAGTTTACGTTTAAAAACCTGGTTATTGAAAAATTAAAATATAAAAAAAATAAATAGAAATTGGAAGAAAAATAAAATAATATTTTTGTCACAGTTATACACAGTTGAGCTATTAAAAATAATTTTTGAAAGTTAAAAATTTAGAGTACGTAAATTTATACGCAGGGAAAAAAGTTAGAGCCTATTTAAAGCACCTCGGTTCGTAAGTGTATTTCCAAATCTCAAACACTTCTAAGCTGTGTTGTCCATCCATAAATTAAACTTACGAGCTTTGGTTTATAAATGACTAGTGTCCCTTGTTCCTCTCATATTTTTATTCGTTTTTGCTGTCGTTAAATTGTGTAGGTAAAGGTAAACCTACCAGGTGTACTAGGCGTACTATCATTGACCAATGGACAGCTGTCCTCATCACTATGATTGTTATGGTTACTATTCCCCGTTAGACCCATCGCTATCCTCTTGATGAGAGGCGGTTTCTCAGTCATTCTCTTATAAGAATTCATCTCGGTGGGCGAGTTGCTTTCGTCGCTGCTCGGCGTTGACAGTTGCGAATGGTTATTTTTGTCTATTTTTTCGAGGTTGGCAGCATTGGGTTGTCCGAAGGCGTTGAACTTTTCCTGGTGAACCGATTTCAAGCCCGATAAGGACGAAGGCGGTGCCATCCGTAGCGTCGAGGCGTCTTGGACTGTCGATAGTTCGATATCCATCTCAGATTGGTGGCGCTGTTGGCGTTGAGGTGACTGGATTTTTTCTTTTTTTAAGGCAGCTAGTTCTTTCGTCTGAAATTAAGGTAATAAAGTAAATTGATAGGTTTTTAAGAAAAAAAAAAAAGATTACCCATAATCCCAGGAGTTGTTTCTCAGGGGTGACAGATTGGGCCCTGCCCTACTCACTACCCACAGAGCTCCAACTCCAGTGAATTTAATTACCTAATTTTCAAATATAATTAAATTTTTAAATATTAAAGATATGGTGGAAGGGGTTTTCCGTTTTTTTACTTGTAAGTCAAATGGCACCATCAATAACCTTTAAGTCGCCCCGGAGCGCCACGGCAAATAATTAATAACAACCGTCTCTTCCTTGCACACACTAAGTCAGTCGGCTTCAGGGGTTGATATTCACTTGTAAGTGGATGAATTAGGGAAAATATTTTTATATTATTATTACATAGTAAAAAATAAGATATCAGAAAAAATAAAGCAAGCATTTTGATTTTCATTTCAAGTACAGTTATTTATCAGTTAGTTTTCGCTTTATCATGAAAAAAATATGGTAGGTATATTTTTTTTGGCGTAAGTATGGGACACAAAACAAATGATTTATGCTATTTTTTAAATGAAAATTTAAAAGAAATTAAAAAAAATGAATTTAAGAAATAAATTATTTAAACAAACGTATAATGGCGCGTCAGCTATCGCTATGGTCGTCGGGATCACTTAGATGTGTAGGCGTACAATAGTAATAAAAAATTCAGACATAAATGTGGAAAATATGCTGGCTCAAGTTTGATAGTTTAATTATGGTAGGCATATTTATTATTGTGTTAAATAACTTTCTGTATATAAAATACGTAGAAAAAGTAGTTTTCGTCAGTTAATTAGAAATTATATTTTGTTAAAAATTGTTTTTGGACTCTGATTTACTGGAAAGATATAAGGAATAGAAAAATATATAAAAATAGCCTACCTATCTTGGTTTCTAAAAGAGAAAACATGACATTCTCCATTCCGTTACAAACACCCACCAGTAATACTCAGAAAATAAGCAAAATCAGCAAGTCACATCTTTCAACTTTGATTAAACTCGACAACAACCGGATCGAGCGTGGGAAAGCAGAAAAAAATGAATAAAAAACAAATTGGATTTTTTGCTGTTCCTAGGAAAAGCGTAAACTGCAAAGTGTAGGTATAAAGTGTTGAATGTTAAACGGTATAGATAGAAAAAAAATTGATGATTTGAGCTTACCCAAAGTACTTTATCTTGTTGGTTCTGATCCAAGGAGGCTATTACATCCTGAAAACTCGTCTGTTTCTGCAACTGGGCGGCGTACGCCATCTTGAAAGCATTGCCGACGATCGCGTTCAGTTCTTCAGTCTGAAAAAAAAAATCCAAATTATTTTCCGTTGACTATAGACGAAAATGGTTAAATATTTTTTTAATTTTATTTTATACCAAGGATACAAGAATACCTAAATATCTGACAGTCAATAGTAATTTAGTAGAAAACATGTTTAAACAGTTTAATATAAATTCGAGGTAATTTGGAAGACAACAAATAATTATAAATCCTTAAAATGTTCTTAAAATATCATTAAAATATGGCCCAAGTGGACTATTAAAATAAGGTAAATTTTTTAAATAAAAAAAAAAACGAGTTTCAAATTATAATTTATCAATCTGATATTTTTTAATACGGACAGTAAATAACCCGGACCTATTTCCGTTACCCAAAAACATACCCGTCCAAAAAAACATATTGTTTGTTATAAAAAGGATCCAATTTTTTGGCCGTAAATTTTGACAATGTTGCAATAAAACTTTTGAATAATTCAATCAATTGGAGGAAACAGAATGTTATGTACTTATAGGTTTCCTAACAACCAAGCAGCAAGGTGCCGTCATTATGACGTTTTTTGGGTTTACAGAGTCGTCATTATGACGTAATTTTTTAGTATTAATTTATCCGAATTACAATATCCTAATCAGTAACGTGTATTTGAAACTGGCAATGTCATATGTCAATTGTCATTGTTGTTTCCTGTTTCCTCCATCTTTATAATTCTTGTGACAGCCGTGACCTCGTGAACGTGGTGCATTTTTAAATTGTACTTTATTTGATAAGATGTTTTAGAAAAAGGTAAAAAATAGAATGTGACAAAATAATCAAGCATATTAAACCGAATTTGGTATTTTACAGATGTATAGCATTGTTGAGTTTGGAAAGCAGGATAATGACGGTCTGGCGGTTGTGAGGTGAGCAAAAAATTGCTGATGCTGCGTAAAAAACAAGTCATGGCCGCCTTTATAAAGAAATATATAAAGAAATATAATATAAGACTGGTGAGTAATGTTATACTTTTATTTTTTAATTATGAGTTCTTTCAGGGTATTTTTTAATAGTTTATTTAAAAATAAAAGATTTGTAGGGGGTCACTTGATTTAGATACCTTTTATCGTCTCACAGAATATATGATCATTTTTTTAATAACTTTTATTAAAAACTCGAGACTATATGTATATCTCTGAGAAGGTAGTTTTTGGGGCTACTACCTCAATCTCCGATGAAGTAATCCCCTCAAATTTTACATCTAGATACACAATTTACTTTCTATCTTTAAGAATTTTCAGTGGTATGTATTTTAATAGTTCTTTTATTTTAGATGACAATGATAAGTGATGTACCAAATTAAAAAAAGTCGAAGTGACCTTAGATCTACATTCCGAAGCTGATAAAGTACATACTAAAAGAAAACAGGTGCCAACTAGAAAGCTGTCATTCAATGAAATCGTAAAGCATGCTTGCAAACCCCCAATTAAAATCAAATCTACAATTTTTGGTATGTTGTGTCAGTTCCTCTAATATTCTTTTGTCATTTTATTCCTTTTGGTTTCTTGCACATGACTTTTTTATTTTCCAGTGTAATTTATTTTTTATAATATATTTTTCATGTGTTTTTTGGATTAAATAAATAACTTTCATCTGCTTAGTATTTTTAATAATTCCATCCAACCTTGGGACACCCAATATAGACGTCACTTTGACGTTAGGTAGATTCGTGATAATGACGTCAATTTGCCTAGCCTAGGACACCCGATATACACGTTACTTTAACGTGATATCGATTGACGTCTTTTCGCTGTGACATTCTCACGTTACCATAACGTTATTTTCACGTCATCAAATGACGTAACCCACACCAAAAAATCACGTGATAATGACGGCATGATGTTGCATGGGCAATATTGTTTGGAATTTAAAAGATAAAATTAGATTTGATAGGTTTTAATTAGTTTAAAGGGCTTTAATAAACAAAGCATTATGAATACGGTAACTTAACCTAAAACTAACAATATATCGTGTGTATCTGATAATTTTACGAACTTTATAAAAAAACTTTAAAACGCTCTCTTGTAAAGTTGTGATATTGACGACGATATTCGTCATCCAAATTTTCTCATATTTTAAAGACCTTCTATTACATCCAACTTTGCTTACTTAGAAAAGTGTTACCTCACACGTTGCCTCCTTGTTAAGTACACAGTATAATCGGTAAAAGAGCAGTAAACTGCATACCATCCTGTCCGGAATGTCAAACATGCCTTAATATTTACTATGTCAGCACGGCATACAAAAGGTATGTACACAAAGGTCCATCATAATGGATTTATAATAAGAATTTTAAATACAAAAAACATCAACTACACAATTGAGAATGATATAGAATTTATTAAATACATAAGGTAGGTAGAAGAACAGTAGTGTCACATTTTAGAAAAAAAAATTGAATTAAATAACTGTAGGATTTTATTGCATTAGGGAATGATTTAAATAGTAGCCTGTGCAACAAAAGTGGATATAATGGCCCTATCGCACGAAGATGACATGCGATACAGACAATCTACTACAGTTGTACGGTATATTTTTACTACGACCCACTAATGAAAAATTTAAAAAATTATTAATTATTATTAAGATAAAATAACTATTTTAAAAATAAATATATGACTTTTACTACTTTTTAAAATAAAATACTCTTGAAAAAGATTTTAGTTATTCCTTAATCCTGGATTTGAACTCCGAACTCTTCGCAAGGCAACTCAGTACTCTACCTTTGCGGTAAAGACACAACACATTTTTTTAACTTACAATTGAACTGGTTTCCCACATATCATCAATGTTCTATGAATATACTAAGAACGTTCTGTTTAAGTATCTTTCGGTATGTCATTTTTAGAATATTCTTAGAACATGCCTAGAATATACTTTGAAAGTATATTCTAAAAAGCATATACTGAGTACGTGCCTTAAAAGTATATTCTAAAAGTATATACTGAGTACGAGTCTTAAAAGTATATTCTAAAAAGTATATACTGAGCACGTGCTTTAACAGGCCACTCTTAGAAGATGTATACCCAGGATGTAGCTCATATTCTGAGAACATTCTAAGGTAAAAATTAACACCAAATATAAAAACACGTTTATGTACTTATGAATTTTTTCCACATGCCAAAACATTCACAAATTAATAAAAAGAAGAATAACATAACTAAACAAATTTTTTTTATCATGCTTTAGCTTGATGATTAAGCATTACATTGCGTCATTGTTTGTTATAGATAGAAACATAAAAAAAATAAATCATATCGTAATGTATATAAAAATAAACATATTTTACTATATTTTACAAAGTAGTAGTTTTAGGACCTACAAGTGATGTTAGAACTGAGGATATCCCAAATGATTATGGTACGTTATCCGTCTTTTGATTTTATAATATGATTTTAATAGGATAATAATTGATGAATTTAGAAAGATGAATTATAGAGTTAATTCGTTAATTGCCAGTATGACTTTATTAATATGTTTAATATATCAACCATAAATTGAAACTGAAATACAGTGTTTCCACAATAACATACATACTTATTTCTATGAAAAACGGACGATAAGTAATTAGTAAAAATATATATACAGGGTGTTTCTAAATTCATGTGACAAAATTTAGGAGGTGATTGCTTGTATAAAATTAAGATGGGTCTTTCCTATAACAAAATTTCCTCAGCCCACCCATTTTCGAGATATCACCCTTAAAAGGTGGTGACCAAAATTGAGTTTTTATTTTTTTTCTAAAATGTCAGTAAAGCTAGAAACTTGAAATTTTGTAATTTTCGTGCACTCTCAAAGGATTAACCACGGGTATTTGTTCAATATTCATGTTACATTATAGGGGGGTGAAATTAGCAGCCCTTAGTTTATTTCATATTAAAATTTTTTTCAAGAATAAGTTTTATAAAATAAAATTATAACTTGAAAGCCTTGTTTTATTTAAAAAAATTTTTTATTCTTATATTTTTTTCCCAAAACCAATAGCTGCAGAGAAAAAAATAAACACCATAATTTATAATTTTTTTAATAAATTGAGTGGAAAACAGTAAAGATATAAAATGTAATACGATTCATAATAAATGCTGGAAATGACCACCTCTAGTCAAAATAAGCTTTACTGAAATTTTAGAAAAAAAAACAAAAACTCAATTTTAGTCACCACCTTTTAAGGGTGATATCTCGGAAAGGGTTGGGCTGAGGAAATTTTGTTATAGGAAAGACCCATCTTAATTTCGTACGGACAATCATCTCCTGAATTTTGTCGCGTGAATTTAGAAACATCCTGTATATATATATATATAACTACTTTAAATGCATTGTGGCACCTGTTAAGTCTAATGTAGTTGTGGCACCAGTGTTATAATTAACGTCATTAAGGCACCATCTAATTGAAGTAGGTTGTGGCACCAGTATATATATTTCAAGTGGTATTATGGCACCATGCGCTGTTGTCAAGTTTACGTGGTGCTTAAACGTGGCTGAGTATATAATAACTTATACAGTAATTAATACGTTAAAAAGTCAGTAATTATTTGAGCACAGACGTATAAATTCATTTTAGCTAAATAAACAATTTTGATAAATAATCCCGAGGCAGATATATTTTTGATTTTAATTTGCTGTTTTATACACGTAACAATTATACAGGGTGCGCCATCTTCGACTGAAGATGTCATCGGTATTTTTACTTTCTTATACTAACATGTACGGTGTGTTCCATAAAGTTGGATCCATATGGGAATTTGTTTAATATTATAACCGGAAAAATACGTTGTAGGGCAATCGCCTCTGCCTATTTAAAAACTTAAAATTGTCTATATCAAAGTTGGCTACTGATATTAGTTTTTGTCAAGTTCGCATTAAATAAATTGTTTTTATGAACAATTTGTTAAAAAAACACTGCTAACTTTAATATGGGCTATATTAAGTTTTTAAAAAAGCAGAGTTGAATGTCTTATGACGTTTTTTCTAATCGTAATGTTAAGAAAATACCCTATGGATCAAATTTTATGGAACATACTGTATATGGGATGTATACCAGCAGTAATAATATAAGACAGTATTGTAATCCAGAGAATTTTACACTTTGACATTTTGACTAGTAAATTAGGTTAATAAGAAAATAAATTTTATTATTGTGTTCATACATTGTTTTTATAACAAAGCATCAAGTTACAAATGACGGAAGAAACGAATATTATACAAATGTGTACTCGTTTACAATTAATGTCTTTATTAGGACGTAATCATTGTTGGTAAATTCATCATGTTTTGAAATATAATCCATGATTTTTAATTTTCAGTTGATTTTTAAAAACAAAATAATGTTTACTGTAGATTTCAGGAATGAAATATTTTTATAATATGATCCCACGCCTTTCCCAATGAAATATAGCATAAACTATTTCAGTAGCCCTATTTGAAATGAGTGTATTCATGTAAAAAACCTCGAGTAAATCTATAATTTTTGCATATTATTTGTTTTTAAAACTCAACAAGTAAAAAAAATGTAAATATACAGGGTGTTCAATCAGTGCGTAATTGTTCAATATTTCAATTTGTGTTATAGACAAGCAAAACAGTTTTATGGATTTAAAAAGTACATATTTTAAAAATATTGTTGGATATACAGGATATTGCATTTTTGCCTGGCAAATAAAAATTTATGTTTTTTAAGTAGAACAACTTGTATTTTATTTTATTTTTAGAATGGTTTATTAATACAGTATTCAACTCTAGAATGTTTTTAAACAATATTAGTGTTGCCAAGCAATTTTTTTTTTAAATAGAAAATGATGCAGATCACAAATTAAATAATCATAACTTAGGTAGATTTACCTTAATTTTAAAATTGTTAAATATACAGACTTATAAGATACTAAGCTAACGAATAGTGGTGATAGAACTGGTTGATTTTATACAGAGTGTTTTAAAACATGTCTTAAATTTGGCTAGTTTTAAGTTAAATTTACTTTATTTTTTCAAATGCAACATCCTGTATATTATTTTAGTATAAAATTCTTTATACATATACCTATCCAAAGATTTTAAAATATTAGACAATAACACATATACAGGGTGTCCCACGAGAGCGTAATTGATGGATAGCCGTTGTATTATTGAAAATACGAAAAAAAAAATATAAAAGTTGTGACCATATTTATTAAATATTACCTAATATACAGGGTATTCCATAATCAAGAGGTTGACTAAACATACATTTTTAAAGGAAAACACCCTACAGGTAGTTATAGATATTTGATTGTTTTCACATCGTCAAACCATTTTGATACACTTCATTTATTTGCTATTTTGTATATAGGGTGTGACAAAATGCGAGGTAACGGTTTTCTCAATTTTTTAAATAAAATACCATATATCTTATACTACCAATTAATTAATAAAGGGTAATCCATTTAAAAAATCATAACCTCACGTTTTTAAACACCCTATATACAACATAGCAAATGAGGGAAATCATTTAAAATTGTTTGACGATGTAATAACAATCAAATATGTTTAACTACCTGTAGGGTGTTAAGCTTTAAAAAAATATAGATTCGGTCAGCACCTCGTTTATGAATCACCCTGTATATTTAAGAACAATTGTTAAATATAGTCATACAACATTTATATTAAATTTTTTTTTCGTATTTCCAATAATAAAACTGTCCATCAATTACGCCCTGATATAATTTATTGGCTAATATGTTGGTATCGTTGGATAGTTAAATGTATAACAAATTTTATGCTTAAATATCATACAGGGTGTTGCATTTGAAAAATTGAGTAAATTGAACTTAAAATTAGCCATATTTAAGACATGTTTCAAAACACTTTGTAGAAAATAAACCAGTTCTATCACCGCTATTCGTTAGATTAGTATCTTATAAGCCTGTATATTAAACAATTTTGAAATCAATTTAAATTTACCTAAATTATGATAATTTAATTTGAAGTCTGCATTATTCTCTTATTTCAAAAAAAAAATTAATTGCTTGGCAAACATTCCCGGGTTGAATATAATATTAAAAAACAATTCTAACAATAAAATAAAATACAGGGTGTTCTATTTAGATTAAATACATTTTTATTTGCCAGGCGAATACGCAACACCCTGTATATACAAAAATATTTTTAAGATATGTATGTTTCAGATCCATATACCTTTTATTTGAAACTGTTTTGCG